GTGCATAGGCGGAAATCGCGGGGGGGTCAGGACCCCCCCTATCTGAGGGTTGTCCCCCCCAAAAAAAACATTAAAATATGTGTATTGTAAATAATGTAATGATATATTCTTAAAATAATTAAGAAATAAAATAACACAAATGCAAACGGGGCAATTACGAAAAAAGCGTACTAAACATTTTGAGACCCCCTCCCTTGCCTCACAGTGCGTTGGTCCACTGCCTCCGTCCCTTTTACCTCAGACACGCACATTCCGGTGGCGGGAGAGAAAAACATAGTGTTTGAATAGTTGTGGAACTCCAGTAAAGGGGTCGCACACCGAACGAGAAGCGTAGCGGCGCGTCGCGCAGCGCCACGTCTTTAAAATTCGAACACATTATTCTCTATTCGTTCGGCGTCTGTCCGCGGCGCCCAGCAACGGCTCAGGACCGTGTTCAAAACCCTGCTGCGCCACAGAGCGCCATTTACGTAGTTTTTAAATTATTTTTGTCTCAAATCGGTGCTGACGGATCCTGACTTCGCCCTATGCTGCAATATACATTTAGTTTTGCATTTATTTACAGAAATCAGCTGCTTGAATGACAATTGCTGATGTTATTGGATTTTTCAGGTGAGATTCTCAATTCATTCAGTTAACGGATGCTCTGAGGTAAAGTTTTCAGACCGCAGACTCAGCAACGATTGTATTTAACTGTACAGAACAATAATAACTTAGAACAGACATTATCTTCATGTCATTAAACATTACAATATTGCTGGCCATACACTGATGAGAAAGTCCGGGTGCGCTGTGCATTTAGATTCTAACGCTTTCACTGTGATTTAGTTGGTTTATATCATTTAATATAGTTAAAGAATAAGTCAATGAATGAAATGAAATCGCTGCGCTGAATGAGGAGAGTATGTAAACAGATTCGCCGCTGGCTTAAACCAGAAAGAAATTTTAAGAAGTATAATGAAATGATCTCCATGCTACACTAATAATAGTAGTAAGGCTTTCCTCTGTATTTTTTTTGCCTGTATTATTGGTGTCCCCTTCAAAATTTGCTCTTGAGAATTGTTAGGTTTATTGTCCCCCCCAACATTTTGATGAAATTTTCGCCCCTGACGGAGTGATAACCGCATCACCGGAGACACGCCGTGGTGAGGAGCGGAGAGTTCGCTCGGTGTTTGGGTAATAGAGTCAGCAATTTATAAATAGTAAAAGCGTAGTTTAGAGTCATGGGTTTTCGCTCTATTGTAAATAGCTGCGACTGTAAACACGGGAGGTAATACCATGTTTCACAGAATTCCAACTAAAAACGCTGACTGGATGAAGAAATGGCTAACTTACTCTGGATATTTATCCAAACACACCTAAGATTATCAAGGGACATTATGTTTGCTCGGTACATTTCAATGAGGACGACTATTTTGAAAAAATGGAATTTGCCACACGGACCATAATGTGCTGAAGGATACGGCCATCCCATCGATAGCACAGACAGGACAAGTGGATCACCTGCGGCTGAGGTAAGTGTTTTTAGATGACCTACTGTAACAGTGCCATTATTAGCCAGATCTAATGTAACGTTAGTGACACTATTATATGATTAGGGTATGAATATGTTTTTATCTTGATGCGGCACGGACGCGCTTGGAAAAAAAAACGAGCGCGTTCACCGCGTTGAACTTGCACCCTGCGCGCGGCGCGCCTAGTAGCCTAAATTTGAAATAACCATGGAAATAACGAACTTGAGCGTGCAAAAGGGTACGATAGGCTGTTCAGGCTGAGTTCATTGTGCAAAAACAATTTGTGCTATTACTTTCCCCCTATTCTATCCTATAGTAATGCAATTATACTGTATATTATATGCTGTTGAATACATTTGGTTCAGCTAATAAATTGCATTTAAAATATATTGATTCCTGTAATAATAATTATTTATTCATGTGTTATTTATAAATCTGGGTGCGTTTTTGGTTGGAAATCAATGAAACATGGTACCTGGTCTCCCCTGCTTATTGTCACAGCTCATACAATAAAGCAAACACCCATGATAAACTATGCTTTTCTATCTAACGTTAGTAATTGCTGACTCTTTATTCCAACGCTGAGCGAAGCGAACTCTCTGCTCCTCGTCACGGTGCGTCTCAGGTGATCATGGTTATCACTCTGCCCAAGTAGCAGTGCTTCCCCTTCAGAAAATATAGTATTTATACGGTTAAAAGATGTCTGTGTCTCATATGGCCTTGATATTTGCACACTCTGTGACTATACAAACCACAACATGTAAATAGGAAAACGTTTGCGTTATTTTGCCACTCATTTGGATCAGTATGAAAGCTGCAACCATTCACATCCAGTCTTTGTGCTAAGCTAGGCTAGCGGTGGGTGCGTCAAACAGACTTATAGCACGCACGGAGATGAAAAAGGTATGTATGGACTTATCTAACTCTGGGGGGTAAGTTGAATAGGCTAAAGTCCCAAAAAGTCGGAGTGTTCCTTTAAAAGATATTTTCCACGATTCACAAATAGCCCAAAATATGACCCTTGGGCGCACAAAGACGACTGCTATAACATTGGAGATTGTTATTCTGAAAGTCTAACAGAAATTCTTAAAAGAAAGAAATTCAGTGTTCTCATTGACGAATCAACTGACATAGGCAATGTAAAAACGCTGTGTGTAGTTATTCGTTTTTTTTTTTTTGATGAGGGACCAAAGAAGATTCAGACCAAATTTTGGAAACTGGTACAAATCTTCTCGAACACAGACGACCACAGACATGCTAAAGAGGGAGCCACTGCAGAACGACTTTACGCCGAGATGATGAAATCATTCACTGATGCAGGTGTACCACTCGAAAATATTGTGGGGTTCAGGTCAGATGGCTGCAACACAGTGATGGGGAAACACAACTCTGTCTCCAGCCGCCTCAGGATTGAGTGCAGCGCTGCGTGTGCCATTCACTGCACCTTTGCGCAAGCGAGGCATGCAAACAACTCCCTCGCAGGTGTGAGGATTTAGCCAGAGACATTTATGGGTACTTCAAAAAAAGCGCAAAACGTATCGCGCAACTCCGCGAATTTCAAGATTTTTGCCATGTTGAGCCCCACAAAATGCTCAAGCCGTCACAGACTAGATGGCTGTCACTGAACGACGTTGTAAAACGTGTGTCTGCACAATGGGATGCTCTCCGTCTTTTTTTCACAGATCAGTGGCTTGAGGCCAGACTTACTGCTGCGGAGACCATTTTTCACTCACTCAATGACCAGTCACTACGCCTCTTCTATTATTTCCTTGAATGGGTCCTACCGAAATTCACAGATCTTAATCAGTATTTTCAGAGTGAAAAGGTGGTGATCACTTCATTGAGAAGCAATGTCTGCGAGACTTACACAGATCTGCTTCTGACATTCATGGATAGGGACCATGTCCTGCGCACTCCACTGAAAGACATTGACATCAATAACGGTCCAAAGGTCACACTGAGCTCAATGTACTTGGGCATAAAGGTGATGCAGCATGTTCGGCAGGCAAAAATTTTGCCAGCAAATCTGACAGATTTTTATGTGCGCTGTCAGAACTTTCTACAGGTTGCCTGCGGGGAAGTCAAAAAACGATTTGATTTTGATGATGCTCTCTTGACCCGCCTTGTATGCCTTTCTCCTGCCACTGCAACAGATGCAAACGCTCGAGTTGAACATCCGTCTCTGCTGCCCCTCATGGAACAAGTGCCACGGCTGATTGACATGTCTACTAGTATACCCATTTGTCTTCATTTGACGGAACTCGGAGTGACAACAAAAGGGAACGGATGTCGTTCCGTCTTCATTTCCACTTTCTACTGTGCCGCGGGGATTGCCAGACCTCAGTCTTGGCTCGTCAGCGAAGAAACATGTCTGTTTTGCTGCCAGCGTCCTCCTTAAATACCCACGAGGTGAGGCGGAGTTAAAGGGTTAGTTCACCCAAAAATGAAAATTCTGTCAGTATTTACTCACCCTCATGTTGTTCCAACCCCGTAAGACCTTCGTTCATCTTCGCAACACAAATTAAGATATTTAAGATATTAAGATCGCTCCTGCATACAGTCCATAGGCTTCTTGAGGGAATGACTCTTGCTGTCCTCGAAAAGTCATTAAAGACATCGTTAAAATAGTCCAAGTGACTACAGGGGCTCAATCTTAAGTTTATCAAACGACGAGAACACTTTTGTGCGCAAAAAAACAACAAAAATAACGACTTTATTTCAACTATTGGTTTATTTCTCCCTCTGCGTGAGTCAGGTTACTAGTTTAATAGCGTAAGCTTCTGTTATTGTACGTCACACGCATCACACACACATGACCAGCGTCGGCCAATAGTGAGCCTTCGTGTGACGTAGCTCTACGCAATCACACTACGTTAACTGACTACAGGCCCATGGAGAAGGAAGTGAATAGTTGAAATAAAGTCGTTATTTTTGTTTGTTTTTTTGCGCACAAAAAGTGTTCTTGTCGTTTGATAAACTTAAGATTGAGCCCCTGTAGTCACTTGGACTATTTTAACGACGTCTTTAATGACTTTTCGAGGACAGCAAGAGTCATTCCCTCAAGAAGCCTATGGACTGTATGCAGGAGCGATCTTAATATCTTAAATATCTTAATTTGTGTTCCGAAGATGAACGAAGGTCTTACGGGGTTGGAACAACATGAGGGTGAGTAAATACTGACAGAATTTTCATTTTTGGGTGAACTAACCCTTTAATAATAGGTAAGATATATATATATATATATATATATATATATTTAAATTTGTTTTGTTTTTGTAAGTTCTATGGTCTTGAAATAATTTTTTATCATAAAATAAAGTGTTTGTATTTTTATTCTGGACCCACATCTTTTGCCCTCTATTGTAGAAGTGAATCTACATTAGCTAATGCTGGTTTTGAGTTCTATCAATTATTTTCCTGGACGGGGGATTCCCGGGGTGTTGTAATCAATTATTTCTTTAAGACTAGAGTTTAACTGTTTTTCCACATCCTAGTTTACAGTCCCTTAATATTGAAAATAGCCCAATAGCAGTGATGAAGAGGGCAGGTGACAATAAGGAAGTTTGTTAATGAGTAACTTTATTTTGTGAAAAAGTAACAAATGAGTTTTTAGTGTTCAGCTCAGCCTATAAGTACATTATGACGACATGAGTCATTGTAGAAGTTGGATGTTTCTGGGACTGTGAAGAACAACAAGAGATTCACTGTAGACTGTTAACGTGAACGGAGGATGGCGAAGTGTAAAACAGACTGCATCGAAAGGCCTCTGTCTCTGGCCTTTGAAAAGCTTGGTCATGTTGTTGGTAGACATCCATGTGTGTTTATTTTATTGCCTTTATATGTTTCTACTGTCCTGGGAGCTGGTTTCATCTTTCTTCATAAAAGGGAAGCAAATGATATTGAAGACCAGTTTACGCCTGTCAATGGACCTGCCAAGTTGGAGAGGGCATTTGTGGTCGAACATTTTCCACAATCAGAAGAGTTTTCTCAGCTGCGGCTTACATCTGAAGGCTCTTATGCGTCTTTGATCATCACAGACTTGCACAGAGGAAATATATTAACTGAAGCAGCTTTTAATGACATTATAGAGCTAGACAGACAAGTGAAAAGTATGATGGCAGGAAACACTTTTGAAAACCTCTGTGCCAAAACAAAGGGAAGATGCGTATCAAACACAATTTTAGACATTATAAATAACAATGCTACTGAAATAGTTTCTTTAAACATGACATACCCAGGGAACAAGGACATGTTTTTGGGAACAAGTATCGGCGGTGTAAAGCTGAATAGCTCAAAGATCACCCAAGCCAAAGCGATCAGACTTTTTTATTTCTTAGATGAGAAGACAAAGGAAACCGTTGACTGGCTTGATGGCTTTCTGAAACTCCTCTCAAACTCTACAGAACAGACAACGGTAAGTAAAACAAATATGTTGAGTTATGAGTTATATCTACATGTATACAGATACCTGATGACTATTGTGTATAGAGGTGGGCAGATCGATCCTGTAGTAGGGGAGAGTGAGGCATAACCTAACACATTTTGGTTTTGGTCAAAATTATTATTAATAATATATATATAAATATTATATATTATTATATTAAATTATTAAAACAACAACAAACAAAAAAACAATTAATTTAGAATCACTTTTTTTACACAGGCAACATACACATCTCTTCTACAAAGGAACAATTACATTTTTTTTTTCTAGGACCTTCCATTTTCGTACAGTTGCACTGAAAGTGACAGAAGAGCAGATGTTCGGTTAATTGTAACAGACAGAGGGGTTAGTTGTAACACTTAATTCAGTACTATTTTATTTCTATAGTTGTGCTTCTGTATAGATGCATATCCATACATTCATCCCTCATCCAATCATCCCTCTATTATGGATCAATATCATAAGTAATGATATTTGAAAGGGCTGCACAGTTTTGCAATAAATAAATAAATAAAATCATCAAATATTGTAATTGCAATTGAATTAGATTTGTGTGTGGCAGCTGCATGTAAAATTATCATTATTACTAAAAATAACAGTATGTGTAAAAATAACAGTAAATGTGACGCATTTCAAGCCTAGCTAACTGTTGCTAAGAGTTGCTGACATATTGCTGTCTTTTAGCAAACAAGACTAAGTGATTAAGGTAATATTAAGTTAGTTTTGGTGACGTACACACACAACTGAAAATAACCTATGATGAAAAAAATACTTGCATGGTGTTAAAACACTCTTTGTCCATATCTTCACGAAATTTCCACAAATCAGCGCGACTGTCTTCTGGCAGGGAGAGAAAATAACTACGTAAAAGTCTGTTACATTTAACCCTGCGTCTGCGCTCCCCTGATTCTGATGATGTATTGAAAAGGATCGAATCACATAAATAATATCTAACCAAACGTTTTTATTTATTTATTTATTTATTTTTTACCAGTAACTTTATTAATTTGGCATGAAATTCAGTGCGTAAAATAAGTGGAAAATTAAGCAAATGTTAGCGAATAATTGTGTGGGATAGCACTATTTCTCCTAGTCATTTGAATACAAGAGAAAACCAATCAATAACAGAGTGTTCGCTGCTGATCCTTCGCTAAGTTCGCTCACAGCCTCACGGTGCGTTTGGCAAACGAAGAACAATTCTTATTAGATGACATGTGAGTTATGTCACAATAAACAAACTACAAGTGTAGTCATGCTCCAAAATGTTGATGTCAGTAAGAATTTTTAATGAAATTAACTTTTTTTTTTTAGCATCGATGCATTCAAGTCTTTGGGTTCTCTTTCGAGAGATTCTCTCGTATTGTGTAAGTTAGCTTACACTACGGGAAAGATTTATCTTTTCAAAATATATTGAAGCCAAAAAATTATTTTGAATTCATTGTCAATGCAGTAGAGCAGGCTGTCTAGCGTTCTCATAGGCTGCTCTGCGGGAACTGCACAGCCTACCACTGAGCCCGACGTGACGTCACGTCCAATGAAGGGCGCTTGCACCTTCACATCGTCATAACCCGCCAGAATGGGGCGTGGCTTAGCATATAAGCAGGGCTCGGAGGCTGTTTCTCTGGTTTTCATCTCTTCAGCAAAGCTCTACGCATTGCAGATCTCATTCCCCATTGACTACCACAGTATGTATTTTTTCCTACTATGGTAGTCAATGGGGAATGAGATCTGTTTGATTACAACATTCTTCCAAATATCTTCCTTTGTGTTCAGCAGAACAAATAAACACACAGAGGTTTGGAACAACATGAGGGTGAGTAAATACTGACAGAATTTTCATTTTTGGGTGAACTAACCCTTCAAAGGCTCATATCAAAACAAACTCTTTTGATTATTAATTTATTCTAAGAAAAGGGTATCTTCCATGGCCACGGAAGAGTAATTATTTCTTAGCATGTCCAGCACTTTGAGCAAGTAGCCAGACCAGAATCGTAAAAATGACATTGCTTGCAAGCAACCAAATAGATAAAGTGCCCAAGTTTAATGAAATCATAAACATGAATAAACTAAACAAACATTAAATAAACATACATAAATACAGAAAGTACATGTGTAGGAAAAAGGAGTGAGAGATGGGATGATGTAGCGATGGAGAAGATCCATCTAACTATGAGAAGAATCAACAGCATTTCATTTTCACATCACATTTCCTTGAATTGAATACTTGGATTTGTAGTGGGAAAAATTGTTGTGGAAGTCGTTGAGGGTTCCGGCAGTGGCACATGGAAGTTGTTTGAAAGTCATCTTTCTCCATGACCACATGGCTAGTTTGGTCAAGGCCTGGGACCCTGGAGGCTGTTGAGGCCACGCCGAGCACCCAGGAGAAGTGAGGGAGTCCGAAGAGTGGGTGATTGGAGTCGTTGTTGGTTTGAGTCCTGGTTCCAAACTCCTGAGAATGTCCTTGGTTCTTTGTAAGAGTCTTCTCTCTCCTCCATGAGGCCATATCTGGTTGTATGCAAGGCCTGCTGGGAGCCGTCTGGGCCCCCATGGAAGGGGGTAACACAGTCTCATCCCAAAAAGTCATATAACTGACGTCTCGGGACGTCTTTTGACCATACGTCAATATCCGCCTTTTTAGGGCCCCCTTAAATGTCGGTAGATGGCGATCCCGGGCCGTCATACAACTGACGCTTTACCTTTAACGTCAGTTAGGTGACGGGTTAGGTTTAAGTCTGGGGTAGAGTTAGGATCCCATAACCTCATCTACCGACGTTTAAGGGGGCCCTAAAAAGGCGAATATTGACGTATGGTCAAAAGACGTCCCAAAACGTCAGTTATATGACGTCTTGGGATGAGACCGGGTTGAAGGGGGAGGGGGTTCCCCAGGATCACCAGAAACAGTGTTTGCAACTGGATGGAGGGGGAACTACTACCAAGAGGGAGGTCACGTGTGGACTGTCTCTAATAAAGCCTGAGAAAGATCCAACCCCTAAGGGTTGGCTGACAATTGTGACCTGATCCAGCAAAATGAGTCACAGTGACCCAAATTTAAAAATTGAGATTTTGGTATTAATTGAAAGAGGGCACCATAAGCTCACCATAAGAGAAAATCGCTTTTAAAGTTTTGTTGCCCATTTTTTTGTTCATATCTTTCAAAATCCATTGCATTTTAAAAGATAAACTATTTATTTTATAGCTTAATTTGACCAAATACATTAATATATATATATATGATTTAACCAGGCCGAAGCTCAAATTATTTAAGTTATTTGGAATAAATAATTAAAAAGGCACTTTTACAAAAATGTTCTAAAATCAGAAAGATTGAACAGAGGAGCCAGAGAGAAATTCACTTTTCATACGGATTAGCCCACATAAGCAGAGAGCAGTCTCTTTTCTTTTGTTTTGAATGGTTTTGTTTAAAAGTAAACATTTCAATAATATATTTCTCAAGTCTGTGAGGCAAGTAGGATCCCTTATACGCTGACTTTCGGTTCATGAGACGAGCTTCAGTTCACGTCCTGCTGCTCCGTGTCGTGATTAGTCCTAGCCTATCCTTTGTCTGCAATTTATTTCTTATTATTAAATCCTGGTAGATGGTTGATGAAACATTGATTTAAATTAAGATAAAATTATTTCTAAACGAAATTCACTTTAAAGAACGGCTTTGTGCTTACTTTCTGTTTAGGCTCTGTGAAAGTTTTAGTGCTGCTTCCAGAGAACGGTCACGTCCGTATCATTGTTTTTTCCTCATAAATGCGAACACGGAAAATAAAATAAAAGATTGTATGTTCTGGGGAGAGTCAACCCTTCTTCATCCGGTGGGTATTACTTTTGGTTTGTGCAGTGTGGTTCACATAGGCCTATTTATTAAAAGATTTAATTATCTGGGAATTATGGATCTCCTCCATAACGCTGAAATTGCCCAATTTTAAACAATTTAGTAATAATTTAACTAGTTTTGTGGTGTAGGTCTACATATTTTATAACGTTAACTTCAAATAATACTAATAGTAGCCTAATTTAAAGATGTGGAGGATAACTCCGGGATAACTTCGGGATTTGAAGGGACGTGTCGTGATTCGGTCTTCTCACACCGCGACACGGTTCGTGGATCTGAGTGTCGCGATCGTTACAGCCTTACATGTATTCTTCTTGCAGATAAGTATACTCACAAAGCTTAGGTTAGAAGCCTCCAGTGAGTTCAACACTTTGAGTTCAACGTTTCAGCGGATAGGCTACCCGGGAAATGCTCAGAGGTGACGAGGGGAGTTGAGAAGAGCAATGTTTATTTCAGCGAATTTAAAGCTTTGACAACTTTAATCGTCATTTAAATACCTTTACTCAATTATCTGGACTACGAAACTTTGGGAGATTTTTTTTTAATGTCTGTTCTTTGAAATTAGCAAAAAAAAAAAAAAATTTTTTTTTGTTATTTCATTGTTTTTCCACATAATCGGCCCATATCTTAAAATGGAACGTTGCGACTTCCGACTCATTTTTCCAGAGCGGGTCACAATTAAGAAAGGTGAGATGTCTGAGAGGGAAAGTGGCTCTTAGTTGATTTATGGTCTTTGTCCCCAGCGTGCTTAGACTGTTCATTTATCCTCAAATAGACACAAACCATTGACATTGCATTCTAACTGAAGGTGATGTACGTCAGTCAGTTAGTCTATGATTAATGCAGCAAAGTAAAGATTTTTTCTGTCTTCCCATTGTCTCTCTGTCTCTCGTATGTGGCACAGGAATGTGGTCGTAAATCTCCTTCTCAGCCCTGTAACATGACATTGTTTTAGCCCTGGTGTTCGCTTCATTTGGGATGTTAGTTGTGAGTTTCATAAACCTTTGTGTATGATGAATAATTAGTGTGTGTCTGACACCGCCCATTCCAAGCGCTCGCGGCTTCACATATAACTGTAAGTCGCTGTAAGAGCGCTCACGAGCGCTCATGCTTACTAAATAACACTCTGCCCAAAGTGCTGTGCGTGCGTCACAGGGCTATTGTAAAATGCTCCCCATCCAAAGCGATCGGGACAGCGAATATGTATGTAAGTCTTGTGCCCACTTACAAGCGCTCACTCTTACTAAATAACACAGCTCACGCTTCACGTTTCATGCGCCCGCTTCAACGCCGGCTGAACGCTTGAGCGTCTCGCCGAGCTTGGGCCTCTGGCTGCGAACCAATCAGAGTGACTCAGACCTGGTTAGTGGCCGACTGGTATCAGCGGGGTGCGATGATGGGAGCTGTTTCGTATTGAAAAATCATCTCGACAGACGCGTCCAACTCAGGTTGGAACACTTTCTTCGAGGACAGACCGGTCTTTGACCAGTGGTCAGACCAGGAGAAGCTGCTTCACATAAACTGTTAGCGGTCGAGAACGCAATGAAGCGCTTACTCCCGTTTATTCAGGACCACCATGACCTAGTCCGCTCGGACAACATGTCAGAGGTGTCCTACGTGAACTGTCCAGGAATCTCTGTAATCTGACAGAGCACCTCCTCACATGGTCTCGGCATCACCTGCGCTCGCTGAGAGCTGCGCACATGCCTGGTCACCTGAAAGCATAGCATAAGCTAACGTACTCAATACGTTACCTCAGTTTTCCTTAGAGGAGGGAACAAGTATTGCGTAACCTGCCGTGCTCGCACCACGAGCGATTTTCGCTTCAGTCGTGAAAACCAGTTTCTTTCTAGTCACTTTCTCGACGGCGGTGGCTTCTCTCTAAATCCAGTGTAGAGAATCGAGGCGAATCAAACACAACTTAATCAAATTAATCTCTCATGGGATTAATTCACATGGCTTCAACACTCCAAGTTCTGGAGCCCACATTCCAGAGTCACAGAACGGCGCCAAGGGTTTGCTTTGGGGGGACAATAAACCCCCCCTCCGAAGACTTTTATGGTCCTGCAGATAGCAACAGAATGCCACAGGAAGAAACGTGTCAATATGTTAATGTTACTAAGACAAATCGGCTCCAAAATGGTGGAACGAGAGGCTCACAACAAAGACCCCTTTGATCCCCTGACAGAGATGTTCCACAGAACACCTTTGCCTCGTCCCCCTTCGAGTTGAACTCTCAGTAACCTTACGGTTGAGATCGGAGATCTCACACATAAAATCATATAAACTCACCACAGAACAATTCTTGAACTTTTAATCAAACCTCACAAGTCTCATTGCTTTCTGCAATTCATGTGTTGTTTGTTAATGCTTAGATCACATATTAATCATGTAATTGTTGTTAACTATTAACTCTTGTAATTGTTATACAACCATTAGAAGTGTGAATGCCTCGTTTACTCTTAAACGAACCGTATTCTCCTAATGCAAAAGATGGCTTGACTGAAATCTGTCTAAAATGCTTTGTTTTATGATTATAATATATAGTCTTAAACTGTGTTCTCTTGTTCTCTGCTAAGTGCTGGAGACCAGCTCACAGACCATGCATAAATTATGATAAGTAAAGAAGTAGATCCACCTCCTGAGATCATGCCATTACCCATTGGCCTGAAGTTTCTTGGAGGTTGGACTAGAGTTTAAGTTAAAGATCCAAACAAAGGACCTCATGTTCAGAGAAGATTTTTGATGATTTTAGATTTTTGTAGATTTTTGTGTTGTTAGATTTTTGTTCTGTTTTGTGTTCAGTTCTGTTCGTTCAGTTCTGTAACTGTTAAGTCCGTGCCTCTCTCTAAAACGAGCAAGAGAGTGTTCTGTTCATGCTTATCTCTGAAACAAAGAGTGTGTTCGCATGCTTCTACGACTAGACCAAATCCGACCAGCAGACGAATAACCCATCAAGATCAGGGTTACAATTCAGCTCAGTCAAGCCATCCGACTCGTCTTACTTTCATTTCTTTCCTTTATTTCCTTTTTCGTAAAAGTCTCGTTTCAAAGTTAAGTTTGCTGCAAAGCTTCGTTTTAAACGGCTCTCCGCAACGCGCTTCGAAATCGTAAAGACTTTTCATTCGGCTGCTAGTCACACGTGACCGGCAAACCCAGGAACTTCCATCCCTGCACGTCAAAGACAACCAACCACGCAACGGACCCGGCCGGGAAACCCCCCTTCGATGCGACGCAGACAAAGGAAATTCCCTCAGCCACTACAAAGCGCAAGTACTCCAGACTCTAACTGAACTGGTGCTTTAATGTTAATTGAATAACCTCTCTAAGAAATGAAGGTTCAAATTAATGATTGGTGGTCCTTTCAGGTCATGTCTTACGTGCATATAGAAAGTTGAAACTTTCTCTCTCACTCTTTCCAACTCACTCTTTCCCTCTTCGCGTCTGTATGAATGTGTGTGTGCGTGATTATGTTTAGACCTTAGTTTTGTGGTTAGAATAGCTAATAAAGTCTTGTCCATATATTTGAAAAGATAATTGCCTTGTGTCGTGTTTGCACATTTAATGTCTTGTACTGTTCGATCAAGTTACCTTGCTAAGACATAGTGTTTCACTATAGATTTGGTTATAATTACGGCCCGTTCAAATGAATTCTAAGCGAGCCATTTGCTCGGTTCAGTGATTCGGTTCCATAGATTCATTGCAAATCAATGAATCATTTCCCTTTGAGCTAAATTGGCCTTCGGCCCCTTAAATACATTTTATGTATATTATTAAATGTTGCATTTGCTACACCAGCAATGCGTAGAGTTTTGCTGAAGAGATTAAATCCAGAGAAACAGCCTCCGAGTCCTGCTTATATATACTAAGCCACGCCCATTCTGGCGGGTTATGACGCTGTGAAGGTGCAAGCGCCGTCGGGCTCAGTGGTAGGCTGTGCAATCTTTCCCGTAGTGTAAGCGAACTTACGCAATACTCGATCCCTCTTCTAGCGAGAACTGAGGTTACGTTAGGTAACCGAAATGTTTTATACTGTTAAAAAATAGATTTAATACAAATGCTGGTTTTTCAACTTTGTTCATCAAATAATTCTGCATAAAATGTATCATGGCTTCCACAAAATTAATCAAACTTTTTTCACCATAATCATTTAATCAGCATTTTAGAAGGATTTCTGAAGGATCATGTGACACTGTGAAGACTGGAGTAATGCTGCTGAAAACTCAGCTCTGATCTCAGGACTAAATGACCGTTTACTATCACATAGAAAAAAAGATAGCCTATGTTAAATTTTACTGTATTTTTTTTATCAAATAAATGCAAAAGGACTTAACCCAGACAGCAAACTGACATTGAATCAACATGGAAACGACGTCTCTCATGACATCGAAACAACGTTGATTTTGCTCATCGAATTAACGTTGAACCAACGTCAGATGCGGCATTCTTCAAAGCTAAATGAAAATCGAAAATTGGTTTGCTTTCATAACGTTGAAACAACGTTGATTTCAAGTTGATTTTCCGTTAGTTTTGAAAGAATGACGCGTCTGACGTTGGTTCAACGTTAATTCGATGAGCAAAACAATGTCAGATCAACGTTGTTTCAATGTCATGTTTCCACGTTGATTCAATGTCAGTTCGCTATCTGGGAAAAATCTTACAAACCCCAAAGGTTTAACCCCCGGGGTTTAACCCTCAAACCCCGAACAATAGTCTGCAACAATGCATTACTATAACAAGGCAAGTTTAAATCGGTCAGGTAAAAGTTTAACGTTTACGTGTACAACAGCCTGTCACTGGCAGCCCTTTATAATGGTTTTACTATACAGTAACCAAATGACTAATTACAGGCGAATTGAGAGCACAAACAACAAAATATTTAGTGATCAGGATACAATAGCTTGGTCATAATTTGTCATAATTATTTCTTCACTGTGCAACACATTCATGTTTACTATACTGAACAGTGTTTTGTGTTTCATTTCTACAGGTCCATGTGTCTTACTTTACATCAATATCAAGACAGAATGAGTTGGAGACCAATTCAGACTCTGTCATCCCCCTCTTCTCTATTACATATGTGTTGGTCATTACCATTTCAATTCTGTCTTGTTTAAGGTATTATAAAGATTTAAAAATCACATTTGCACATTTCTATGCCTAGCTATGTAATGCATCCCTTGTCTCTTTCCTCAGGTTGGACTGTGTCAGGACGAAGGTGTGGATGGCCGTGTTCGGTGTGGTCTCCGCAGGGATGGCCGTGTTGGCCAGCTTTGGTCTGCTGCTGTTCTGTGGGATGCCGTTTGCCATGACCGTGCAAACTGCGCCCTTTCTGGTTCTGGGTAAATGCCATTTGTTTCATCACTTAGTAGGTGTCCCAGACAGCAAACTGACATTGAATCAACGTGGAAACGACGTCTCTCATGACATTGAAACAACGTTGATTTTGTTTATCGAATTAACGTTGAACCAACGTCAGACGCGGCATTCTTCAAAGCCAAATGAAAATCGAAAATTGGTTTGCTTTCATAACGTTGAAACAATGCGTTGATTTCAAGTTGATTTTCCGTTAGTTTTGAAAGAATGACGCGTCTGACGTTGGTTCAACGTTAATTCGATGAGCAAAACAATGTCAGATCAACGTTGTTTCGATGTCATGTTTCCACGTTGATTCAATGTCAGTTTGCTATCTGGGTGTCTCACAGCTGATGTTCAGAGGCTCACCGTCTGCTGTCCTCCAGGTGTTGGTGTTGATGACATGTTCATTTTGATCTCCTGCTGGCAGACGACGGAAGTTCATAAAGCCGTTGAGCTTCGTTTAGCAGAAACATATAAAGAGGCCGGCGTGTCCATCACTATCACCACGCTGACAGACGTGCTGGCTTTCTACATCGGTCTCATGACGCCCTTCCGCTCGGTTCAGTCCTTCTGCATGTACACCAGCACAGCTCTTCTGTTCTGCTACGTCTTCAACATCACCTTCTTTGGCGCCTGTCTCGCGCTGAATGGTGGGAGAGAGAAAGGCAACAGACACTGGCTGACCTGCATGAAAGTCCCAGAAGCCACTGGTGATGGTGGAGGCTGTTGTGTTGGTGGGGCTTATGATGAAGACACACTTAAGGAATTTGAAATGCCAATGAATTCATTCTTTATTAAATATTATGGCCCTTTCTTAACAAGGCCGTGGGTTAAGGGACCTGTGTGTCTAATCTATGCCGGGTATTTGGCAGTCAGTATCTATGGATGCTTACAATTACAGGAAGGTTTAGATGTGAAAAATTTAGCAACAGACGCCTCATACGTTGGTAGTTACTATGACAAAGAAGATGAATTCTTCTCTGACTTTGGTCCCAATGTCATGTTGGTTATAAAGGATGAAGACTTTCAGTACTGGAACTCATCTGCTCGCAAAAGTCTTGACTTGTGTTTGGAAGATTTTCTAAATCTGACAGTGGCAGATTCAGGCTTTCCACCTATTTCTTGGCTGAATGAATACATGCAGTTTGGACAAAATGCAGGTTTCAATTTAGACAATGAAATGCAATTCAAAAGCCATTTAACCGCATTTCTTAATCAGTCAGGTTTTAGTGAAGATGTTAATTTTACTAACAATCAAATCCATGCCTCACGTATGTTCATTCAGACTGTGAACATCCGCATGGCAATCGATGAGAAGAACATGCTGGATGCATTTAGGGAAACCGCAGAAAAATGTGTCGTTGATCTGATAGTGTACCACCCCGCATTCATCTATTTCGACCAATATGCCGTCATCGTCAGTAATACAATCCAGAATATAGTGGTTTCTACATGTGCAATGTTAGTCATTTCACTCCTGTTGATCCCAAACCCTCTTTGCTCTCTCTGGGTGACTTTTGCCATCGCGTCTGTCATTGTGGGAGTGGCCGGTTTCATGGCATTATGGGATGTTAGTTTAGACGCCGTGTCTATGATTATTCTTATTATTTGTATCGGGTTTTCTGTCGACTTCTCTGCTCACATATCCTATGCTTTTGTGTCAAGTGAAAAGTCCTCAGCCAATGAGAAAGCCATGGATGCCATCACTAAACTGGGCTATCCGATCGTTCAGGGTGCCGTGTCCACTATCGCAGGTGTGGTGGTGCTCTCGGCTGCTAAAAGCTACATCTTCAGGACCTTCTTCAAAATCATGTTCTTAGTCATTCTGTTTGGGGCCGTCCATGGCATCGTATTCATACCGGTGTTCTTGACCTTCCTCGGCACTTGTAGTAAAAACAAACAAAATCTTCCAGAGCCCACAAGCAAACAGCCAGTAATAGCAGTCGTGATTCAGAATGTATGGTGTGCTGATCCTGACTGTCCATAGGCACCGTGTCAAGTGGTTTAGAAAATGGATGGATTCACTTTTCCCTTTTTGTAGGAGCTTAGCGCTGTATGGCACTCTGATTTGACCATGCCAGAAGACCCTGAAATAATAATCATTCTTATGTATACACTACTGTATATACTTACTGTCAAGGAATCAGCAGCCTCCACACAGAAGAAAGAGTTAAAACTCTACAGACGTGCTCGCGCTCATGACCGCTACTGAAAATCTGAACACAAACAACGATTAAATGCAAATTGACGAATCTTCTTCCAAAAATGTAATCAAATGTATTTTTTAAGTGTGTTTAAACTGGTTAACTGTGTGTAAAGCAGCCAAAGGAATTCATTTCCCAGATGAGTTCCCACGCCACTGCGCAACACACACAAACTACCGCGGGATGGCGAGTGTTCATTTCATAAACTGTGAACAATGTTATCTTATTTAATCTATAAATTAAGGCTATATGTCCAAAAAACTGGTAATTTCATACTGTGTAGTAGCGCTATCGTGGCATAATAATCTGTTTGGCTGTAAAATGTATTACCTGAATCACAGACAACATACGAAGATGTTCAACTAATAAAGATCTTCATCGCTGGCAAACGATATGATGCATTTGCAGATTTAGTTTCACTTGATAGTACTATAAGTCCATGGCCACTTCCTCCAATGCTTCTTAAATCTTCCTGTTACGAGTCCGAGTGTGGAATGTGTTTGATGAAGTCTTAAAGCACAATTTCTCCCCAAAAACACTGAAGTAAATGTACTTTGTTGCCGGAAACCGATCGAGCTCAGCCATCTTGAAAGACGTCTCAATTCTCGAATTGCACCGCGAGGACGCAACAATCGGGGAGTGAGGAGTATTCTGGACGAACGTATCAATTCTCCTCCCCCTTCACATCGGTGAAGCAAACTTCAAAAACATAAGGGCAGAACCTTTGGATGGTTCTGCCCTTATGTTTTTAAGGTGTTAAGAAACATAAAAAAAATTCTGTGAGTGGTTCAACAATTCAACATGTATATATATATATATATGTACTGTACTGTCCCTGTTTTATTTTCCCCACCACTGCTTATAACAACAAGTCTTTAAACAAGTTGGAAAGCAATCTCAGTGGTTCTTGTCTGTTAAATGAGTCAATGATATTGACTTAAACTTATCGTTTGAATGTCCCGACTTTACAGTCATTGAAGTAATGATGAAGATGATATGAGTTTTACAATCCAAAAGTTTATTTGAGTGTGATGCAATGCCTATAATCCACAATGTGAGAAATAATTGTAGTCTGAGTTCTATGGGTTGTTGACCTTAGTGTCACGTTGGCGTTGGTTAATAGATGACGAAGAGATTCCTCTTTCAGCTGCTATAGAACCGGCCCCAATTCTGATGGATTGGCCGGTATAGAGAGAGGGGGATAGAGACTGCAGCTTTTGATGACAGTAGTTAAATGAGTCCTGAACAAGGACTTAGAAAGAGGTGATCCGTTAGGTAATATGAATAGAGGGGTGTTATTTAAAGAATTTTTAAACATATAAGGGACAAAAATTGTTATTGATTTTGAAGTGTTAGTGTGACTCCAAAGCCTCTTGAGTGCCATTCTTAGAGTGCTAAAGAAAGAGGAAAGAAATTAAAGTAAGGACCACGGGCAGGATGAAATTGAAAGTTGGAAGTTGAAATCCTTAGAACACATGAAGCCGTAAAAGCAGATAAAACACGGCTTTTAGCACAATATGTATGGAAAGTACACTGTAAAACTAAAGGTGCCTCAAATACCCTGTCAGATACTCAAATAACTTAAGTTCCTCAAAGCTCTTTCTCCTATAGTAGGGTTCTTGGAGGAGCATTGGCAATCTGTGCGGTTCTTGCTGGAACTTACAGGATCCTTTAAGCACTTCAGTTCAGAGGTTTTCACACTGTAAACCAGTGGTTCCCAACCTTTTTTTTGTCTGAGACCCCCTTTTTCCCAAGAAAATATTTTAGGGCCCCCCTTCACATTTACTGATATTATCACTCTTGTAAGCTTGCAGCTATGATGACAAAATATGTTGTTTTCAAACAAATGGTATGTTTACCAAACCAGATATGTTTATGCACAAATATTAGCCTATAATATTGAAAATACAATAACAAAAACATCAGCAGGCCCTTTGTAATTTAAAGACATAAGCCTAGGAGAAGCCTATATATTGGCCCTATTTGAAATGCAAAAACAAAAATATTAAAAAAATAATAGAAAAACAAGAAAAAGAGTACAGGCCTCAGTACTTGCATGTTATTTGTGAGGCTTTAACAATGTGAGGCTTTATTTTTTTAAACGTTTTTGGCGCTTTAGCAAGCGATAATAAATTAGCAGTTTATTAACAGAATAGTGCGTCTTTCGGAAGAACTACTTCTCTCTGTGTACGTCTATGCCGAGTCACGCTGGTACTGGGCTACTCCGCAGCGGCAGCGATCCGAACCAGTGGAAAATAGTCCCAATGTAAACACGTCTTATAGGTAAGACAAAAACATAGATTGATGGATTCATGAAGAACTCGCTCACTATTTAAATTTTGAACAGAAAAAAGTTAAGGACCTTTATTTACTGCACATTGCTCAAAAACTTTTCAAAATATGACGCAACCCCCCACGGAGCTAACTGAGGCCCCCTTGTGGGCCACGACCCCCCTGTTGGGAACCGATGTTGTAAACCCTAATGTTGTCTTTACTTAAACAATCAAGTGTACTTGACTAAACATTACTTTAAATTTAGCATTTTGGCCCTGTCACTAAAAAATATAAGTTCAATTTAACTTCAAAATACATAAACTTAAGATTTCAAGTGCTGTGAGCGCAAAATCATGACTAATTCTTACAAAATGTCATTTTCACAATTGGTGTTTTCTTGACTGTGAAATGAATACATTTATATATGCTTTCTTCAAGTGCAAGGTGTCATGATTTTTTTTCTTTTTTTAAACCTGACACTTTAAACTTGATAAATAAACTTTAATACCCATATACAAGTGTTTTTGTAATCACAGCAAAACCCCCAGTGTTAAATGAACACTGCTCAGTGTTTATGAGTCCACACTCAGGAGTGTTATAAGTAAAACTGCAGTGGCGGTTCTACTTTGAATTACACCCAGGGCGAGACCCCCTTCGAGCAACAATAAAATCACATTCCGTTCATTTGAAAAACACAGTTAATAGAATCCAGTTATTTTGCTAGATTAATTTAACTTTAAAGGGAGGAAGTAACCATTATCGCATTGGTTATTGCCTTGAATTATATGCATGGCACACTTTTAGTTATGACTTGTTAAATTATACTTTGTCATGAAATGGCGTTTATAAAAGTAAAAGGGTGAGAGAGATACTTATTTAGTACCACAATACTTATCTCTTAAATAATTTTGAACAGCTCTCATATTAACAGCTATCCAAACTGTTATAGACCTAAAATAGCTTTTGTAGCCCTATGTCACCCTTAAATGTCAGAGAAGAGGACAGAATCAGAGATTATTTAGAAAATAGAAAATTGTACTTTGCATATTATAGGCTACTGTACGAACACATAAAGTTGATCATTATGTAAATTATTTTCATTTCATGAATATAGTGACCAACGTGATCACATACACAGAATCTTGTTCAAAAAGCCTAATACACAATGAAATCAATTCACCAAGTTAATAACATTAAAGATTTGTTTTAAAGGAGTGTCTTTTATGTTACCTACTAAACTAAAAAAAAAAGGTTAGCACAAAAAAAGATTTTATAAAAATATAAACCTCATATTTCAGCATTCAATCATCTCTATAAAAAGAATGAGTCAATAAAGATACATTCCTGACATTTATAGTGCACAGTAGCTTATCTTTTATTATTCATAGTAAAATTCGGTCCGATTTGCCCATGGCTGTCGTTGCTATAATACAACCATGCACTGCGCTCTCCACAATGACAAAGAAGTTTTAGTAGCTAATGTATTTCCAGATTTTCCACCACAGAAAAACGCTTGCTGAAGCTCTCCTGAAAGATTTATTTATGGAGAAGAGAAAAAAACACACAAGTGTTTGGGTGCACGAGCACTCCCATACTGAAAAGTTTATGAGCGCGCCTCCCGCGAGCGCATAATGAGCTCTTCCCGTGCGCCTAATCGCCTATTTGAAATAACAACCTCGAGCGCGCAAAAGACGCGATACGTGAACTAATCAAGAGACCCTCTTGACATTGCTTCTGTGAACGGCTCCTTCTCAGCAAGCAGGGGCGCCATTGCCAATAATTGAATCGAAATGATAAAAAATAGAAAACCTTAGCGGCACAGAGGATTTTTTTAGACTGCTCGTGCCGCCCCCCATGTGACATGAAGAGATGCCGCCCCGGGCGACTGCCCGGTTCGCCCGTGCCTAGAACCGCTACGGAAACTGAGCAGTGTTAAAGTTAATGAGATAATTAAGTGATTAACTGAGTGATGATTGAGCATCATTTGTACAAGTTCTGAAAGTCAATCGTATTTGACAATATCTGCCTGACAGAAATGACATTCATATGTTTATAAGTAACGGGATAAAACACAAATGTCAGGGCATATCAAAACATCTTAAGGACCCCAAAAACACGTTGGACATCTAAGGGTTAAGTAAGTTCAGTGATGGTTCATTTTTGTTGTAAATTAATTAACTTCATTTATCTAGACAGCCGCTCTGGAGAAAACAGTGATGTCATTGTCCAGCTCAGTTCACTTCTCATATAATGATGTCAATGCAGGAGATCAATAATATTGAAGAATATAATGTTTTTGTTTATTGCTCAGGAATTGTCAGTTAAATGACTGTGTTTTAGTGTTTTATCTCATTTTAGCTGTAATTATAGCGTTAGATCTACAGCTAAACTTCTTTAAATGCCACATACGGCCCAGCTCCGGCTGACAGGATCTGTGTGCAAGCTTGAGGACCAAACCCCAAGAGCTTTATTTGTGAAACATTTGACATGTAAATGTGCAGCAGAAGTGAAAGTGTTCCAGTCCAGATGATGTGACCAATCAGAGAGTGAGACTGAAAGCCCATTTGCATTGTCAGGGTGGAGTGATTGTGATCTCTCAGAATAGAGCAGCTCTGTCTCCAGAGACCATGTTCAAACCCCAAGAGCTTTATTTGACATTTACTGCCACATCAACCTTCTGAAAAGCTCCTGCATCTTCATCTGTTAGTTGAATGATGTTGTCAGACACAAAGTGAACTTGTTGAGAAGCTTTATTGAATGTTGCAGCACACACACACGCACACACACACACACACACACACACACACTCTCAAGCCCACATGAACCTCAGCAGACACAGTCTGATGCTGTGGTTTAAGAAGAATGACACCTTAGCTTAAAGCACAGCGGCTTCGCATGCGGTCGGGTTCATGGCCGCTGTAAACCTGACGGTGGCGCAGTCTTCAACACTCCTGCTTTAAGAGGCTTCACTGGAAAACAGTTGCGGCCTTAAATAAAGTTGATTGTACTTAAAAATGTAAGTTATTTAAACTTAAGTTACATTAACTTAAAAACATTTGTTGAATCTTGTATAGCTTACAAAAAAGTTAAATGACTTTCGATTACAGTTTTTTTCCAATTGCTAACACACTAAAATGACATGCAGAGCACAATTCTTTAAACGCACACACAGAGAGCAAAACTTCTTCTCAAGTTTCCAAAAGTCTAAACACATTTTCTGCTTTACACACATTTTGCATTTTAAAATGCCCCTTTTTAAATGCACTGAGCACAGTTCTCTGCATAAGACACAACAATCTGACATAAAGTCACATGTTTGGCATTTCTAAACGCTACCATTCAAAATGACACTACATGAGCTAATTGACCAATTACATGTGCCACCTGGCCAAACACCTCAATGGTTAATTGTTAACACTTCAATCAGGATGTAAGCAATATAAAAACTATAAAAAAAAATATTTTTCTTGCCACCTTTTTTCGTGTAATATATTTTCTGGAAGTTTCTTTTTCAGTTTACTGTTTTTTTGTAAGTCATTTTTTTCAGTCCCATGTAAATAGTTCTGCTGTGCATACGTTGCGCTGACTTGTTTACTGTAAAAAATACATTACTGTAAAATGAAGTGTCAACAGCATGTGTGTGTCTGCAAATATTTCTGTGCATGTGAACAATCTGATACATATTTTAGTATTATGGCAAAGCATATGAGTGCTTTTCATGATGCCCAACAGTGTGTAGTTGTTTAGGCAAAAATCTGCTAATATGAATGAAGTGTGTGCCAGTTCATGCAAAAGTTTGATTTTGATAATGCTGTGTGTAGTTTCGGTTGCAGTGCTTCATTTTGCAGGATATATGAGGTATTTTGCAGTTTGGGTGTGTGGTTTTGTGAATTGTGCTAAGTATTTTAATAAAACCAGACTAGTTTGCAAAATTGTGTATTACACTCTTTAGCATGACACCGCCGGGTTGGTTTGTGCTGGTGTGTGTAGTAGTAGTGCACTCAGAGTGTGTGTGTGAGTTTGTGCTGGTGTGTGTAGTAGTAGTGCACTCAGAGTGTGTGTGAGTGTGTGCTGGTGTGTGTAGTAGTAGTGCACTCAGAGTGTGTGTGTGTGAGTGTGTGCTGGTGTGTGTAGTAGTAGTGCACTCAGAGTGTGTGTGTGAGTTTGTGCTGGTGTGTGTAGTAGTAGTGCACTCAGAGTGTGTGTGTGAGTGTGTGCTGGTGTGTGTAGTAGTAGTGCACTCAGAGTGTGTGTGAGTGTGTGCTGGTGTGTGTAGTAGTAGTGTACTCAGAGTGTGTGTGAGTGTGTGCTGGTGTGTGTAGTAGTAGTGTACTCAGAGTGTGTGTGTGAGTTTGTGCTGGTGTGTGTAGTAGTAGTGCACTCAGAGTGTGTGTGAGTGTGTGCTGGTGTGTGTAGTAGTAGTGTACTCAGAGTGTGTGTGTGTGAGTGTGTGCTGGTGTGTGTAGTAGTAGTGTACTCAGAGTGTGTGTGAGTGTGTGCTGGTGTGTGTAGTAGTAGTGTACTCAGAGTGTGTGTGAGTGTGTGCTGGTGTGTGTAGTAGTAGTGCACTCAGAGTGTGTGTGTGTGAGTGTGTGCTGGTGTGTGTAGTAGTAGTGTACTCAGAGTGTGTGTGAGTGTGTGCTGGTGTGTGTAGTAGTAGTGCACTCAGAGTGTGTGTGTGTGAGTGTGTGCTGGTGTGTGTAGTAGTAGTGTACTCAGAGTGTGTGTGAGTGTGTGCTGGTGTGTGTAGTAGTAGTGTACTCAGAGTGTGTGTGAGTGTGTGCTGGTGTGTGTAGTAGTAGTGTACTCAGAGTGTGTGTGAGTGTGTGCTGGTGTGTGTAGTAGTAGTGCACTCAGAGTGTGTGTGTGTGAGTGTGTGCTGGTGTGTGTAGTAGTAGTGTACTCAGAGTGTGTGTGAGTGTGTGCTGGTGTGTGTAGTAGTAGTGTACTCAGAGTGTGTGTGAGTGTGTGCTGGTGTGTGTAGTAGTAGTGTACTCAGAGTGTGTGTGAGTGTGTGCTGGTGTGTGTAGTAGTAATGGAGTGGATGATGCTCTTTTCTACTCAGTGCACCTGTAGTTTCTGCCTCAATCTGGGTCAAAATCACACACTAAACTCCTGCTAGTCAGGACTGAAGTCCACATAAGACACTTTCAGTAGGAAACGGTAACATTCGTGTTTTATTAGAGCTGGTTTGTGGCATTATTCATTATGAATTAATGCTGATGGGAAATGAGGAAATGTTCCATCTCTACTGAATCTCTTAGTAACAAGCTTTCAGGAATAAAGCTTTTGAAAACGGAGGAAAAAATCCCCCACATCCACTCAATAGGAAAGTGT